CAGTGACAAGGCAGTGACTTTGCACACAGAGGGCTTCAGGTTCAATCCCTAGCATTTCCAGTTGAAGGATCCCAGGTAGCAAGAAAGACCTTTGGGTTCCTGAGATCCTGAGGACTGCTGCCAATCGGAATGGACAGTACTGAGCTAGATCAACCAATGGTGGGACTTAGGATAAGGTCACTTCATGTGCTCAATGCAGCTTTGTTCCTATGGCCCCTTCATCTCATAGTGTACAACAAATTAGGACTGACACTACCACTGGACTAGACAGGATACTGGATAGACCCGGACGAGGTTGGAACCTCTGTATGGAGGCTACTGCACCAGTTATACTAGGCCTCACACGTTGGCTGTACCCCCTCCATGTCTGAGACAATCCTGTATAGACAGAAGTTGTGGGGCCTGTCAAGTTTAGCTCTACATTATATCTCACAGGACTTCCATTCTACAGGTCAGGGGACTGACATATCTTGGTTTCCCAGAACATACCAGTGCGCTCCAATTGCTATTCAGTATCTCTTAGATATGAGAGTGATACAGCAGGCCAAAACATCTGAGCTGTTTTTTTTTTTGAACGGAGGTCCAAAAAAAGAGAGAGAGAGAAAGGAAACTTTGGTGCAGGAACTTCTTGTTGAATAGTCCATGATGAGCTAACACTCCCAAATGGAGGCACTAGTTAAGTCTTGGAGGCTCTGTGCCACTTTTTCTCCCTTTATGAGGTATTCTACCCATCAATACCTCTGTGGCTACTGGAGGCTTGCCTTTACAGGAAATTTCTACTTCCCAGGACCACTCCCCTGGTCCTCTCTTTTACCAGAAGATTCTCAGGCCTGGTGACCTTTCTTTCCTCATCTTGGTTGAATCATACATTTCTAAGATTCCTTCATTCTCATTGAAAAAGGAAACTTGGACTTTCCCTGTGAACATTTCCTCTGCTCTGAGGAAGGAAGGGCATCTTATCCCACCCTAATTAAAGAGGGAAACAATTTGGCTGACTCTGTGTGTGTGTGTGTGTAGATAGATAGATACAAGTGGGGACCCAATTTGTGGAATGGGGTAATGGGGGAGGAGTGAGCCTGCATCCAAGGGTACTAAAATAACTTGTGGATGTAATTTCTGAGTCTCTGTCCATTATTTTTGAGAATTCTTGGAGAACAGGTGAGGTGCCAGAAGACTGGAGGCAGGCAAATGTTGTCCCCCATCTTCAAGAAGGGGAAAAAGGCGGGTCTGGGTAACTACTGACCCATCAGCTTGACGCCTATACCTGGGAAAGTTTTAGAACAAATAATCAAACAGACAGTCCTTGAGCATTTAGAAAAGACAGGTGTGAT